AGAAAAGCAGACAATCGTTTCTGAGCCCACTAGAAATTTTAACGTGACTTAATTTTATTACGCATAAAAAAAAGTTGTTTTGATATTCGTGTTCTAGCTAATCTAATATGAAAAAATGCATGTAACGAAGAATGTAATATTAATTTTTTTTCCATAAATCTTAAAGTACTTATAAATACTGAATGTACCTACAACTTTGTTTTATACTATTAATTATTGACCAGTCCACAATTTTCACTTATAATACCGGTGAAAACTACTAGACAATCGCTTCTATGTTTTTAGGTTATTGTGATATTCATACTTTAATTGTTAATTTCTTGGTATTCCCGTTACATACTTGTTAGATTGTAATTTATAGATTATAAGAAATAAATCGACATTTATCTCATTAAGTTACGCCACAAGTTTTGGTGGGCCCATTTTCCATAGAAAAAGAAATTGTCTTCTTTGGCCCTTCAGCAATGAAATAGCAATAACATTTTTGTTTTATTAAAATTTGTTCCTTGCTTTATTGTATTCAAATCTTCATACATTGCACTATTTTTCAAGCCAATGGGCATCAAGGATGTAGTTCTTTTTTAACACCTCGGTGTCTTTAACTTGGATGAAAAATATTGTCTCGTAGAAATTTGCAACTTTAATATTTTTTTCTAAAGAAACTGTTCACCTTGTAGGGAAACTTTCGTTATTTTAGTAGAATGTCATAAATTATAAGTATTAAGGTGATACATTTTCGATAAAATCACGACACTCAAAAAATCTTGAAAACTGTAACAGTTTTATTAAAACATTTTTGGCTGTTCTCATAGGGCACGATCTCATCTCTCCCCACATTTATTTTGGACTACTATTAATAGGACACCTCTATATTATCTTATATAAATAATATACGACATATGGAAAGATACTTGACTGGTAGAGAGTGCATCAAGGCAGTAAGTCCGCCCATTGTATTCTTTTGATTTATGGAATGCGATAAACAATAAATAAATAAAATACCTGTCCATGCGCTAACGTGATGTGGTAATTAAAATTTATATGCTTATATTAAGGAGTTAACCTCTCCCAAAGATTCTATAACCGTTACATTCTGTAGATGGATTACTAATTGTGATAATAATTTGCTGCTGTTTATATATAAAATGCTCCTAGGTCCCACAAATTTTTCTTTCATTTTCACGATCAAGTTTTTACGAAACTACGTGATTAAACCGTATAATACATTTTTATACGCTTTTCTCATAGCAATTAGTAGTTAGTACATTTTAATGAAATTAAAGTTTGTGAAGGACAGAGAAAGAAAGCTGAAAAGAGACGGAAGATTTCCATTAAAGTGGGGGATTCGGTTTAAGGTTAATTTGAGAATTGATAATGATCAAATCATCAAACAGAAGTGTTTGATTATTGCTATAGGACAGTACATGGTAGTACATTTGACTCAACATGATGAAAAATAAATACATAGTCACATTATATAGAAATTGTGCTAGTTGGTAAGTTTTACATTTTTGTAAATACATATAATAAATAAATATAAATATTGAATATTTATATAAATATATAACTAAACATAAACAGTTCTTTTTTAAATATACTTGACAATGTATTATACAATGTTATTTTTTCCAAGAAGATAATAAATAAAACTCTTGTACTTTTATTAAGTTGAGACTTGAAATTCTTATTGCTTCATTCCTTTAATAAATCTTTATAATATAATATGTAACGCGATATTTCTAAATTCAGTTCATTAGTTTGCTTTCATAGTGCTTCCGTCTAAATTTCTACCAGATCCGATGATACCTGTAGACGCTTTAAATTTTTTAACTAGCTGTTCCCCGCGACTTCGCCCGCGTGTAATTTGGAGTTTTAATTTTTTTGCACAGTACCCTAATTATTTTTCTATAATAAAAGTAGCCTAAGTTATTTCTTGTGACATCAGCTATCTGTCAGTGAAAATCCCTTTAAAATCGGTCCAGCCGTTTCGGAGATTAGCCGGAACAAACAGACAGACAGACGGACAGACAGATAGACAAACAGACAGACACACAGACAGACAAAAACTTTAAAAATTGTATTTTTGTTATTAGTACCGTATATACTTTCATATGCATTTAGTAAAAAGCTGTAATTTTTATATTACAAACACTTCAATTTTATTTATTTGTATATATAACATAGTTACTTTTATACTTTTACACTACTACTTTACCGTGTAGTGCGTTGTTAGAATATTAACTACCATTTCTGGTTCCGTGGGATTCGTAAAAGGCTACATAGGAATATAAACCAGGAAATGTGTAGCAACGTATTCTAAAATAACAAAAAAAGAATAAAAAACTGCAGTTGCCAACCCTTCCACCAAGCATGGAAAATATCCCCACCATGAGACAATCTATAGGGGAGTTAATGTTCAGCAGCGGACTTTAGATAGGCCGTAACGTTAACGGTAACAGTAACACTGCTACTAACAGTTAGATAAGTTAAAGTGGTCCCCCACCAGATAGTGACAACCTGATAAGACTTGCACGAAGTAGATGGATACCACCTGGCACGGACCGTGTTTTGAGTGCAACATTACGTCAAAAGGGGGTTAGACATATGGGACAAAATAATTGTTTATCTGCCCTTTATAGTTCGCCACACAATTTAATTTGCATGCATGCATTTCATTGTTTTCTAGATATTTCGATTTATATAACTGCTGAACGAATCCGCGGAGGTAATGCGCCTTGATGAAACTAAAATAGTGGATCGGTCTATATTTTTATCCATTACAATAAAATCTTTGAATTAAATTATAATATTAAAACTTCATGCATTGGGTATTTTCAAAAAAACGATGATATTTCAAAAATTATGCATGCCCGGTTGTTTCTAGAATTACACAATAATTTCTTATGTTCAAAATGTACAACTTAAAGGAGTATTTTGCAGAACCATGGTATTCATCGTGCTGATGTCACTGTTAACACGGGGAACCGAGCTGATCGTCTGTTTTTTTTATTATTTATTTTTGGCCTGACTACACTTACGCTGCCTTATTACAAAGGATCGCTTATTGATATAATCCGGTTTAAGCTAAGGCTTCAAATAGTCCTTCTCAAGAACGAAGTAACAACACAGTCGTCGCAAAATTTGTCATTTGCTAGTCAAATTCCATACTTTACATTTTATTTCGTATATATCCGCGTGGCTTCTGGGTGAAACAGATTCTGGGATGAGCCTGAGAATAATTATATTCACTTACTATATTTTGTACAATTATGGACAGTAATAATTCAAAATTAATTCAGTTAAATGCAAATCTGTATAAATAATAAGAGATTTATTTTCAATAGTGAACTTTTACAGTATTATAGTATTCCGTACTCTAGTCTTCCTACTTCCTAAATTTAAAAGTAAAATAGCTGAATGTTTTCTTAGCTATTTTTTATTTTCTTGTATACGATGTAATGAATATTAAGTTATTTTTAGGGTAGCTAAAACTCAGAGACCAGCAACACTGTCAACGAAATTCATCAAGACGTTTAATGAACATTACACAAAAATGATAGACAAAGCAATAGAAAAAAACAAATATATCGATCACCCACTTACAAAGGACAGAATCAAAAAGGTTACATATTGTTACTTTTCCATATTACTTTATAATTTAATGATTTATCTATATATATCTGTGATGTCGGGGAGAAACATGACAACTCCAATTTGGTCGAATTTTAGTTAGGTACTACAATGACATTAAAATTTTCCAAATTTTATTTTAGTTTAACCCAGGTAACTCTAACGTGCATAGAAGCGGTAGAAATGTGATGGTTACATTCTGATATCTCTACATTTTACTCAGAGATTTTTGTCAAAATATGATAAAATAACTTAACATGCTATTACCTATCAGTAAAATTAAAAGGATGTGTAAATTTATGGTCATTTATTGACAAGTAACATATGTCATCTTGTTACCAAAATGAAAAAATCAAAACCTGTATATTTTTTGGTACAAATGTGTAAAGTTTTATTTTAGCTCTGGCTCTGGTGTAGAACGGCAACCTAAAAACAATAATACACAACTACCTGGTTCACTTCGTTCAACTCACTCATCTAGTCCGACTCATACACCTAGTCTAACTAAGGTAGGTGAGGGTAATATGGTCCTTAGTTTTGTTGCCGTATAAAACCAAAACTAGAAGGAGGACAGAAACAAAAACACAAAGTCGTATACTATAACTAATATATTAAGAAAAAATACCAAACAAGCTTTGGCAATAATTAGGAACACTTCGAAAAATCTACTTAAAAAGAAATAACTATACTGCACTATACTAAAATCGACTTAAATATTTACAACAATTTCAACTGTCAAAATGTTATTATTATACTTTATTATTTGAATGACTGAAGAAGAGCTATTGTATCACAAAGCCATGTCTATGCAAACAAAGCTGTAGTTTTTGAGTTCTAACAAAGTGATCATATTACTCTCACGTACTATAGTCCTGTTTCTAATGATGGCTTCACTTATTTAACTAGAAAAAGAAAGAAAGGGCGCGATCCCTTCCAGAGAAAGATACGAAAAGAACGCAACAAAAAAACGTAGAAAAGGCGAAGAATATACAACTGCCAAAGGTAAATACATATCAAAAAGACACTCCGGTAGTTTCTCAGATAATTGCAGGGCGCAATGTCAACAAAAACTTGAGGTACTTGATTTAAGACTACTCTAAAAATACTACAGGAACTTGTCATCCAGAAATGTGCAAATACAAGACTTACCAGGTCTTATTACTATTAAAACAAAACGACGTATTGCGAATCGCAATTCAAGTAACAAAAATAAAAGAGAAGTCACAGTAATATACACAGTAGATGGAATAGAAGGTGTTTGTACAAGCTGCTTCATGAAAACTTTTGGTGAAACTAGTTTTTATTGATGATGTCGTAAATAATAAAAAAATTGCCAACAAAATGCAGCCAACAAACGTTCTAATGCAGATATGAAATATGTTGAGGACTTTATGAACAAATTTCTTACTTACGAAAGTCATTACTCAAGACGTTATACGACAAAAAAGTATTTACACCAGGATTTAAACATAACATTATTATACAACCTGTACAAAGAAGATGTTGCAAAGAAAAACAGTGAGGTACGTTTTTGTGTCCAGTGAGTTGCTGTTTATTTCGGAAAGTATTTAAGTCACAAAATATAAAATTTAAAAAACCTTTTAATGATATCAGCAAAACCTGTGATTATCTTATTCTTCAGATTAAAAATTGTGAGGACGAATATAAGAAAGAAAACTTAAAAGAAGAATTGAATGCACACCAGAAGAAAGCAGAATTACATTATAGTGCAAAAAGAGCAGATAAAGAATTAAGTAAAGATAGATGAAGGCAAAATTATAGTTACTGCATTTGATCTTCAAAAATGTTTAGCATAGCATAGCATTTTGTCTGCGGGAATATCATTTTACAAAAGAAAATAATAACGAAAAAAAGAAACGCGCTGTTTGGTTTGGTATGAGAACATTGCGCAAAGAGAAGCCAATAGACAAGGTTGCATTTGGTCTGTGGCATTCATCCAGACAGATAGTTTTTAATTCAAATACTTGCCTAAGTCTGAATCGTAATAATATTCTACCCATAGATAATACACTATATACCAGAAAATTGTACCTGTAATGTTTGAGCTAGCCGTAAATCCTAAAACTAATTTGATAGAAATAGTCACAAGTTTTTAGTGCCTGGCCATATGCACTTAGAACGTGACAGTGATCACGCAGCAATAGAGATTTTTGAAACACCGCAGAGTGACATTTCAGTGTCCCAAGATTGGGTAAATGTTATACAGATGTTTATAAAAATGACAAGGTACAGATACATAGTCAAAATTATGACACAAGAAGATTTTTTTGGCTTCTTTCAATTTTAAAATCCACATTCATGAAAAGAAACATTAATACAGAAAAACAATAATTTACATGGAACTGTGTTTTCTGACTTCTGTTTTTGAAAGTTTCAAAAAAATGTGGCATTGTAATTATCATTAGAGACTGGTCAAACAGATTTAAAAATATAGGTAACTACTTAAATGTCTTTGAGACTAACATTTCAGATATTGTGTGTAATAGTGTGCAGTTACGTGGTCACTTGGAAGGGAAGGCCAAATTGGCCTCTAAAAAGCTTGGCGTGCTCAGCAGGGCGAGACAGTATTTCATGCCGGCACATCGCTTGCAACTTTACAAAGCGCAAGTTCGGCCCCACATGGAATACTGTCCTCATCTCTGGGCTGGGGCACCCCAGTGCCAGCACCTTCCACTTGACCGCATCCAGCGCAGAGCGGTTCGAATCGTCGACGACCGAGTTCTTTCTGATCGGCTCGATACACTGGCACTGCGTAGAGATGTTGCATCTCTTTGCGTATTTTATCGCATCTATCACGGGGAGTGCTCTGAGGAATTGTTCGGACTAATTCCAGCCGCTCAATTTCACCATCGCACATCGCGACAAAACTCGCGTTACCATCCATACCATCTGGATGATTGGCGGTCCACCACTGTGCGATTTAGAAGAAGTTTTCTCCCTCGCACAACTTCCTTGTGGAATCAATTACCACCAGCGAATTTTCCGGACCGATACGACTTAGGATCCTTCAAGAAAAGAGCTTACACCTTTCTAAAAGGCCGGCAACGCATCTGCAATTCCCCTGGTGTTGCGGTTGTTCATGGGTGGCGGTTGTCACTTACCATCAGGTGAGCCGCATACTCGTTTTCCCCCTCTTCTATAAAAAAAAAGATAGTATTATTTTTTGAAACGAGGTAATAAGACCTTACTGATTGACATACGCTCACCTCAAGCATATTTCAGACCATTGCCAATATGCTCAAAAAAAGTATAATGACATAATGAGTCTTCTGCCATATAGATAGAGTATATCACGATTTCTATATGAATTTTATAACGACCAACTCAAATTCAGACACTGTAAGCGACATTGATGGAAATTATAAATAAAAAGATGATCTAGTTAGATAAGTACTAGAATTTTCATTAATTTCTGCTGAATTTAATTTGGTACATCTAAGATAAGTGCATTGTTTTTCGTTTTTCTCGAAAATAGTCATGTTGTGAGTAAAATTTGTAATTGTCATAAAAACTTGACTAATAAAACTTAAAAAATACAATGATTGTATTTTCTTTTATTGTTTAATAGGTCACAATATCGGTATGTATCTAATCAAAATCTTTAAAGTGCCATACTGAAAAAAGGTGTTTTTGTACATATCATGTTTCTCCCCAACACCACAGATATATATATTTCTAATAGAAGGAAGAGACAATGCAAATAAGAACTATAATTTCAGATGTGTGATCATTTTGTACTCTTCAAATTTCCATTACAAGCAGAATTTTTAATCTATGCTTACGAATCATTGGAAAAACCTGAAAATATAACAGAAGGATGTTGCAGCAGGCTTATTGCTTAGCTTGTGTCTCAGAAACGGTACGTTCTGTTTTCATTAATATATTGGTAATGAAGCTCAGGAGTTGCTCGCTGTAATCACCGTACGCGAACAACTCGGATCTGATCCCAGCCAGCACTGATGAAATTATTAATTGCATAACCTGCATTTTACACAACCTGCCTTTATAACCTCGAAACCTGCATATCTGAGTGAATATGCACTGAAGCTAATTCCTCCACAACCCTTTCTGAAGCTTGTTTCCAGTTGTGGTACGTATGTAGGCTGTAACTTTTCTTTTATATTACGAATGAAATTCGTAGTTTAAAGTAATTTTAATTTTAAATTAATTCCTCTGTAACGACGTGCATAATTTTGACTGTGGAAAAGCGGTAAGCGTGTTTTTTATTTTACAAAACTTTGACACCTTTTCTTTTCTTACGCGCGGACAGTGCACTTTATGATAACTGCCGCGGTTCATACACGTCTGTTGCGTTGTCACCCCTGAGACTAAGATAGAATGCCGTCTTACAAAAAAAATGGGTATCAGGGTCTGGTCACTTACAATGGAAAACATATCAGTGTTATGCATGTTACGCTGGTTTGGTAGAGCTTAGCACTTTCTGGCGGCAGGATCTATTCTCTACCAGGCATACAAATGTTTGTTCTGAGTATACGTGTTAATCTATGTGCACTTGTCTCCACGATATAAGAGAAACTCAAAGGCGGCATTCAGGCCGGCAGTGCACGCACTGCTAAGTTCCGGCTTGAATTGTATGGAGAGCCAGTTTAATTACAGGTTGTGAGGTATTCCATCTTAGTACTCAAAGGTCCTCAAAAGTCCGCATCTGTAGCATTCTTTTTAGATGATGGTTGCAGACGTCCATTTGGGCAGCCACTTACCATCGCGTGGACTAGTTTGTCACTTCAGTTATATAAAAAAAAAACTTAATTATCATACTGTTTGTGTGGTGGTGCGACATGTGGTGACAGCTTAATAATCGTTACTACTTATTTTCTTTCTCGGTAACAGAAAACAATGTAGCAGACAGCGTAATACATATTCAAAGCAATCAGACCTAAAGTGGTTACGTAAAAATGAGACACACATTTGTGTTGCGAGAAATTTTGCACTGCGTTCGCAATGTATTGCAATATTATAGTTATACCAGCAACTTAACTCGAAAGAGTCAGTAATTCCTTCATAGGGCTATGTATACGCTTTTACAACAAATTTCCAGGAAATATGCAGACCTTATCTATCTAAACTTTAAATAGATAAGGTCTGCATATTTTCATTTTTGCTTAATAAGTATTTTAAACCTTTAGATTCTAAAGGTTTAAAATATTTATCAAGCCAAAAATATCTAGTAAGGGTTATTATACTACTAAAGAGTACATGATTGATAATAACACCTGGGAATGAGATGAAGATCGAATCGAGAGAGAATAATCGCTACCATGTTAGAATAGAATAGAATAGAAAAAACATTTATTCAGCACAGGCACATGTTGTTTCTAAATGTTTTCATAACAATTGTGTAAATAATAATATTATATTAAAAATTATGCTTTAAAAAATTTCTTGCTGGTTCTTCCAGGGACAGAGGTTTTTTCTTCGAATCATTGGTAAAGTAAAAAATGACTTTCAATAAGAATGACATGTAATCTACATTTAATATAAACGATTCTATTCAATTCTATTATGTATGCTAAAAGAATTTATTTATTTATTAACTCCTTTTTTAATTTCCCATACCAAAAAAATATAAAGGGCCGAATTAATGCTGAAATCATTTTAAATTGTAAACAGTAATGTTGAATAAGAATAAAAAATTAATGTATCATATGTAATTACAAAAAATTATGTTGAAATCGCAAAAATATATGAATAAAAAATATAATTATGTAAATAAATAATAGAACAATAGTATAACAAAGATATTGTTAAATCCAATTGGGCATACCTTAAGCGCATTAAAAAAATTACGTATGACATGATTATACGGAAATTTTAAAGTAGTTAGTTACTCGAAGTTTAAAGTAGTAAATACATTTCGACAGCACTATCGTCTTCAACACACTCGAAAACCATGAAAATGACACCCAAAATGAAAAAATTGGAACCTACTTCAGCCGCCATCTTGGATTTACATTTCGACAGCACTATCGCCTTCAACACCCTCGAAAACTATGAAAATGACACCCATGATGAAAAAATTGATACCTAATTCAGCCGCCATCTTGGATTTACATTTCGACAGCACTATCGGCTTCAACACCTTCGAAAACTATGAAAATGACACCCATGATGAAAAAATTGGTACCTAATTCAGCCGCCATCTTGGATTTACATTTCGACAGCACTATCAGCTTCAACACCCTCGAAAACCATGAAAATGACACCCATGATGAAAAAAATTATAGCTATTGCAGCCGCTACCTTGGATTTACATTTCGACAGCACTATCGGCTTCAGCACCCTCGAAAACCATGAAAATGACACCCATGATGAAAAAATTTATATCTATTGCAGCCGCCATCTTGGATTTACATTTCGACAGCACTATCGGCTTCAACACCCTCGAAACCCATGAAAATGACACCAATGATGAAAAAATTGATACCCATTGCAGCCCCCACCTTGGATTTACATTTCGACAGCACTATCGGCTTCAACACCCTCGAAAACCATGAAAATGTCACCCATGACAAAAAAATTATACTACTTACTTTTAGTACATACTACTATTATTTATTCTCTTCTTTTAAAATATTGTAATAAAAAAATCTTTTATTATTATTATAATCAAGTATTTAAGAAATTTGGTTATTCGAATATTGTGTATTTGTGCAGCGATCTTTTTGAGCCGCCGCAAAAAACCGAAATAATGTCCACTCACGACGGAGACTGAAGCCGAATGTGAGC